TAACTGCAACAGGAAAAAAAAAAGGTATTTTTTCCATTTCCGCTCCCTAGAGACCTGGGGTAGGTGTTCTCATTGTGAAATGTCTGCCTCACCTGTGACTTACTGCATTCCAAAGAGGGTGGAATTCAAAGCCCTGGTCCTGGATGGTTTCATATAGTAGATGATGGTGCTTCTGCTGGTTTTTGAGCCTGGCTGAGGAGTTTGCAAAGCTCTTAATGGTCCATCGGAAATGTAACGGTTTGCTGACCCCGACAACTTACTTGAGGATAAATTTGAGATTCTTCACTCTGAGAACGTAAAGCTACAGCCTTAAAGATGTACCACGTTACCTTTTTCTTTTAAAGAGACAAGCATTTTGATGTGGGTTTGATTTCTTGTTTTCCACAGCAACTTTTTGATACAAGGCCTTTGAAATGTTGGGGTGAGAGCATAAAAAATGGTTGAAGGAGACGAAGATTTATTGTGTAGTTCGTTGTATTGATCTGCGGTTTAGCACTTCATCTTTCCAGTTCTTTGGATGTCAAAATACACTTACAAATATAGCATGGGTTTTGTGTCTATTGTATTATTCTCAAGACATGATTTTTCTTTTAATTGTGATTTTGTTTGTGGGGTCAGAATATCTATACAGAGCCACATAGTGATTTACCCAGTGAGAAGAGGATTTTTAATGTACGATTACCTCCTCCTTATTTATGAATCCTTTTTTCAGAAATTCTTATATAGCTGCTACTGCTGCTCAAATTGCCATGGTTTTTAAAGAGAATAATGCTTATTGATAGTTCCCACATGCACTGGCAGGCACATCTAAAACCTGTACTTTTGTGTTCACAGCTTGCATAATATAAAATTTAGAGATCGCTTGTCAAACTAAGTGTCAGCTGAGTTTCCTAGGAAACTCACTGAAGATATTTATAAAACTACAGATCAGCTTAATAATAGATATAATAATGTCAGTAGCTCGTGATTGGGGTTTTTTTTAACTTTATCAGTCCATTTTTCTTTGCTTTAATTTGTTGGCAAACCAAACCACTGCATTTCCAAACAGAGCAGTGAAGACCTTCCTTCCAATATCTTGCCTAATTTATTTAAAAAAAAAAAAAAAGCAGTTTGTGCTGTTCCATGTAAGGAAGTGTAAAACATCCTACTGTAAAATTAAGAAGAACCTAAATGTCGTACTAATTATCAGACAGAATCCTTTATAAATAAAACCACAATTGTGAAGTAGAAATATAAATATTATATCATATGTTATAGTTTTATTCACAGTTGAGTTGAATGCGTGAGTTTAAAGTTCATTGCACATGCATGCAAAGCAGTTACTGCAGAATTAACATAAACCCTGAGTATGGGTTTCTATAGAAGCTGCATAAATAGAAGACCTGTCAGTATTGTAAAAAGGCATAATTCTGTGAAAATAATTTTATCCCTGAGCTGAAAAAAACAGGATCTAAAAAGAGAGAATAAGTGATACTGGTGTCCATTTTTATTCATTTTTCTGCTATTGTGTTTTCCTCACACTGATTCTTTGAGCGGAGACATGAGCATTGCCACAATTGGGAGGTATTTTCGTACTTTAAGCACTTCAAATTGAAATTTTGGTCATGTAAATTTAAAATTTGCCAGTGGGTGTATGTATACGTATATGTATATGTATATGTGTAGAAGAATGTATATTATGCCAGAACATAATTATTAGAGGCATTTAGGATTAGTAGAAATTAACGTTCTTTAGAAAGCAATTTAGAAAACTGATTCCAGTTTTCCCATTTTAATACAGTAATGAGAATGAAGTTAGCGTATTTAGTAATGAGGCAGTACTGACTCCTTATCTCATCTGGAATCCATTACTTGCACCTACTGTGTACCTTTGCCTGTCAGAGCTATTTTTTTATACTCTGCTAATTAGCCGGGTAAGGAGCTTATATGAAGGATATTCAAGAACTGATTTTCTTGCGAAAAAGTAAGAGTACAGCTTTTTGTGTTTCAGTATCTAGAAATCTCAGTGCACGTTTAATGTAGTTGCAAAAGAAATCCTAGGAAGCCTGTCCATCACACACTGAAAAGGTTAATTTTCTGTAAAGCTACAAAATTTAGCCAAATCCTAATAGTAGTTGCGTGTTGATTTATTGGATGCTAGTGATATCATTGCAGCTTGATACAGCGGGGTGGCAGGTAAAAACTTGCAGATCATTGCATTTATTTTAATATAGATCGCATGTGGACAGCAACCTTAGAAGCACAAAACGTTACAGCTGCTATGTCGAGTGATATTTTTTAGGCGCGTCATATTTGTCAGAGCTCACTCCCTCTTAACTGCGGTGTTGCAGTTTAGGGTATTTGAAATGGATCCTTTTATCGGGAGGAGGCTGATGATTTCTAAATGGAAGACGACTTGGGCTGATACACAGGACATCTAATTAGGAGACTTATCTCATTTCCAGCCCTGCCATGGATTATTTGTAGTGTAACTCTGCGTTACTCACTCCTCTGTTCCTTACCATAATTTGCCTGTTTGGGAAATGCAAATGCTAACAACCAATAGCCTTCCTGAAGTGCTTGTTGTATAGGTGGGAGAGATGTGAATTGGTACTAAATACCCTGTTTAATCATTTCGGATAAATTCTGCCAACATGACCTTGGTATTGGGGAGGCAAGATGTATCGTCTCTGATTTATACATCAACTCCAGAAGGAATGCTTCTGCAAGAAGCGATTCACGCTGTCTTGTGAGGTTTGTGATGGAGTCGTTTTAGTGCACGAATACTCGCTTCTGTCTACGCTTTTAACCAGAGCCTGTTCTGTGTCAGCCGTAGTTGAGGAGCGTTTTCTCCCCTGACTTCTGTTGCGTTTATTGATCCTGAGCTGTGCAAGCAATTGCGCTGCCCACAGCAGTTTGCTAGCTCTCCCTCAGGCTCCTGCCCATTTTCTGCAGCCTTGTTTAACCTGCTGGTGTTGCCACCTTACTGCGCGCAGAGACCTGGATTTACCCCTCTGCTAACCTTTTACCCTGATGAAAAGTGGCTGTTTCCGGGCCCGTTGGATCAAACTGTTAAGAAACTGGAAAGAAAACTTTGAAACGGACTTGGAAATACAGAAGTGCTGCCTGAACAGCCGTATTAAGGAAAATTACTCTGTGTTTAGGAAGAGATTCAGCTTGGAAGCATTTTTGGTTTGGGCTTTTTTTGCCTTCTTTTTTCATCTCGTGTGCTGCAAGCATAAGATGAGAGTTTTGTTAATGATAGGTGCGCCGGTTAAAAATACATCACTCTGCTCCGGTGTCTGCATTAACTGCAGGGGGTAACTGAAGTTAAACTTTGCTTAATCAATATTCTTAAGGTGATGAAAATCATCTGACCAAAAGGTTCAGGCTGAATACAGCTGCTTTCTCATGGTGACTGTAGCTGACTATGAAGACTTACTTTTATATCTTTATATAAGTTTATGGTGGCTTTTGGCAGGGGAGGAGGTTTTGTTAAAAGAGGATTTTTCTTTAGAGTTTGTTCAGTATAGTTTTATTATCAGGCACGCATCGTGTTGTGCTTTTTTAAAACACATACTTTTATATCTTTATATAAGTTTATGGTGGCTTTTGGCAGGGGAGGAGGTTTTGTTAAAAGAGGATTTTTCTTTAGAGTTTGTTCGGTATAGTTTTATTATCAGGCACGCATCGTGTTGTGCTTTTTTAAACAATATGCTTAGCCATCACACCTTGATCATCCAGAAAGAAAAGCTGGGTATTCTAGCTGTAGATACTGCATTTTGTTTCCTTGCTATAACAATGGAGGTTCAAAAAGGAAAAATAGTATAAGTAAATATATATGCAGCGTATTTTCTTTTCCTTTCAGTTTGTATCCGTGGGAAAGTGCTACGAGATTTTAGGGGGGGTATTTTTTCAACTGGTCAGTGTGTGTGACCCCTGCGTTAACAGAGAGTCACATTGTAAGTCAAGAGTTCACTGTTTTTTTTGTCTTTCCCACTGCAATTAAGTAGATGCCACATGCACACCCAAGTAAAATTGGGAAAAACTTGCCAGTTGATAAAGAAATCTTGATAATATTGTAGCAGGATGAGTCAGCCGGTGAGATATTCACTGCCAAATACCAAATAACAATGCAGAAATTCAAGAAAGTTTCTAAGTCATACGGGCAGTCTGGGGAAAATGAGCCAGCTGGGCTCACACAAAATCTAAGAAATGGGTGAAAGTGGGAGAGGAGAACCTGCCTATTTTAGCTATACATATAAAATCACATTTTTATGTCCTTAATACTGCCATTCTAGCATGTTCTAGGAAAGAATTAAAGCTTGAAAAGATTTCTTAAATAATTGGAGAATGTCGTTCCCCCCTTTTTTTCTGGTTCCCTTTTCTCTTGCCCTTCCCTGCAGTTGTAAGTTTTTGTTTCACCTTATGCATCTCACTGAGTTTTGGCAACATAGTCAGACTGGTTAACCTCCGCTTCATGTCAGTTTTGCTTTTCACTTCTTATGCTTTAGTTGCAGTGTTCCAGGGCAGCATGTCACTCCAAAGCTATTTGTATATATTAACAAGCATTTCTGCTAACATTACGGAGACTGTAATTAACATAACATTATGCTAGATTAGCATTATGCTAAATAAAGGCAACCCTTCACCCCAATTTCTTTTTTAAACCCCAAAATCTTTTTTACATCTAAACAGCCATATAATGTTATGACACATGATTAGTCTTAGTATTTTTTGGTGGACCTCACAAAATTATAACCTTTAACTGCATTTGGACCGCTTGTGGGTACTGCATAACGGTAAGTGTAGAAGCGCGGTATTGAAACAAAGTCTGGGTAAAAAGTTGTTTGGCTCGGAAAATGTAACCTCCATCCATGTAAGTAAATCATCGGGCTCATACCTTTACCATTGGACTTGTGTTTTACTTTGCAGTGAGAGTCTAAACCAGAAGAGGTAGTGAAAAGTGTTATACTAGACAGTATTTTACATATCTTAGTGCATGTTTATTTTTCTTCTAGCTTTTTAGAAAGAATTGACAGCGTCAGCATGGATGACTACACACCCACAGATCAGGTTAGTATAACTAATGGGGTAGGGTCTGAACCAAGACGCCCTTTCTTATTAATTCTTTATGTAATTCATTTTAGTCCCAACAGCAGCTGAAATAGGGCATACCACATAATATCAAAATACAGTCTAGCAGTGTAAGTAATGGATATTAAAGAAGAAGAGGCTTTTTGGTGGTGCGAGCTTGTCTTTTACTGTTATTATATATAGGTCGGTGATTCCTGTAATATGTCTGTTATTTCTTCTTGCTTTCCACTCTGTGTCCCACAAACAAAATGAAGGGAGCAGGAAACATAAACGTAAAAGCCTACGGTTTCCCTCACCAGCCTTCGCTACACAGAAGCAGAATTTTATTTCAATGGTGGAGGTGATGGAAACCCAGAGGGAGGCTTCCCATGTCCATCAGACAGGTCCTCCAGAGGCAGAAGCCTGCAGTGGATCTAGTGTCCAAATTCAGGGGAGAGCACTAGTGGCAGCAGCAGCCCTTGTGGACTTCTCTGCTGGCGTGCAGACACCTTCTTTCCAGCCTGTGCCCATCTGCCATGGGCAGGATAGTTTCTGTTTGAGCCTTATTTGCAGGACAGTACACGTTTTTCCCAGATGTCATGATAGAGTGCTCTAATGACAAACGCATTCAGGAAAGTTACGGCTGAAGTGGTGCAGCCTTGAAATAAGAAGGGGCTTCACCATGGTGCACGGCTTCGGCTGCCTTCCCTGAGCTCAGGCTGTGTGGTTTCCTTGGGCAGGATGTCTCTTCGGCAAACTTACTCTGAGGTTGTTATTTTTCAGTGCTGGTATCCCACTGTCATCTAGTAGTCTCAGCCAAGACTGTGGGCCACGTCATAAACTGCAAATACAGGTGGCAGAAGAGAATCCCTGCACTGGATAATTCAGTCTAACCATGCAAGGTGTATAACGGGTGGATGCCCTTAAAAAAGTACAATTGCCAAATCTCATTGTGCAGTCAGAGACTGAAATTCAGAGAAATGAAGTGACTTGCCAGAGATCACACAAGGAAGTATGCGGAGCAGAGCCTGTTCCTTCAGACCTAGTTCAGGTCTATAATCACAAGCCTGTCCAATTACTCTGACCATATCCTGGAATAGAAGGCAGTAAAAAGTAGTATGCGGTGTATTATTAGGTGAAACTTGTATAGTCGACCCAATATAGGATCAATAATTAAAGCCCTCAAGACATTTTCAGACCAAAGCAGTAGCAATGAGATTTACTCCGTCTAGACCTCACGGTCTGATTTTAGCATCGATACCACTCAGCTGGAGAGAGAAGTCAATGAAGCAAAGCCTCATTTTTGCTTTCATTATTTATGTTAGTGTTGGCCTGTTTGTTCCTGGGAGGCCTTTCTCTACCTGGAGCAGTCATTCATCATCTAGAAATTTTTCCTGATATTTCCTTTGGGAAGAAACGCCCTGTGTCTCCAAAGATCAGAAGAGGCTTTTGGTATTTGGCAGGCGGAAAACTTTTGCTCTAAAGGAGGGATTCTCTTTCGCTTTTGGGTTTTCATCCTGTTATGCTGTATGTCCTGCTGAATCAACTGGTAAAAATCACTACTTTCCTTTTTTCCTTTGCTTTCTTTAATTTTTTTTGCACCATCCCAAAATAATGACTGAGTCCAACAACAAATAAATGTCAGCAAGTGACAGAAAATGACAGTAACATATAAAATAACTAAAAAAATTAAATAAGTGGCCTTCAGCTGAGTTCATGCGGCTGTCAAAGCAGCCGAGGTTTGCCAGCTACCGGAGTACTTGAAACAGTAGATGGTAGGGTAGGGGAAAAAGGCAAGCTGTGCTTGGACTCTGCACCACTGACTGCCTCCCTCCTTCCCCGCTTTCGCAGCTGCTGCGTGGCAAAGAGAGCTAAGCTAGACCGACTGGCCCTTCCCTTGCCCCAGGAAGGGAGCGCTCCCCCGGCAGGCAGGCGTGCCGAGAGGTGGCTGCTCAGGGGGGGTTCATCCCCATCAGGCAGCCGGCAGCTTTCTCCGGCCTCCGATTTTGTTCTGCACCCACTGCCCGAGCAGCAGTGCTGGATAGTCAAGGTTAAAAATGCTACTGGTGATGACGATGGCACACGGTGAGCTAGTTGCCTGAGGTATGCATCATAAATTGCTTTTGCCTACTTCCTTTGAGAATCTAGGAAATTATTATTTTTTTAATTATTAAAAGAATGTTATTTAAGTTGTAAAGTATTGCTAGTTTGAAAAATAAGAAAGAAATGCCAGATTTACGTACAACCTAAATTCTGTTCCCCTGTGCTCTGTAATAGAGCTTTAATTACTCAGTCACAAGCTATTATTTCAATAGGATTCCTGTCTCATTCAATACAAAAGAGGGCAGAATTAAGGTTGCCTGGGCAACTGTAAATCTGGAGTTTTCTAACATTTGAATACTTGACTTTACAACATGAATAACACTTTTCTTAGTTTTATGTAAGTTCAGAATTCATTATCCACCTCACATACAAAATTGTATGACCATCAATAACAGGTTTCAGTGGGCAGTAAAGAGAATGTATATAGGGTATTCTGCTTTCTGAGTGTGCACAATCCAAATGCAGAGATGATGTTTGTGTATATCCACTGTGTCAGTATGGACAAATGCAGGTTTACCAACAAGTCTGATTGAACTTCAGTTAAATGGAACATTTAAGACTTTTCATGGAAAATAATATTCCATGCTTCTAAAAACAAAATGGGGTTAGAAAAAAACCTTGCTAATCAGCTTCTGTGTTCTCATTTCCAGGACCTGTTAAGATGCAGAGTGTTGACATCAGGGATTTTTGAAACAAGATTTCAAGTAGATAAAGTAAATTTCCAGTAAGTCTATTAGTAATAATTTATGAATATCATACTAATTTTTTAAGAACTTAGTTCAGATGTCTATGCTCATGTATGCTTGGTATAGTAGGTTTAGGGGGGGAGTTGGGGGTTTTTTGGGGTTTTTAGCTCTCTTTCCATAAGTCCTAGTAAAATTGCCTCACACTTTGCAAAAAGAGCTGATATTAGTTATGTGTATTAGTGATGCTCTATTGTGGGGTTGTCTGTTTTTACTAACTGGTTCACTGGTATAGCACTGTAAACTCATAAAATACTTTTGGGGATGAGATCTCACAGAAGTTAGTGGGAATGCTCCCACGAGTCAGACTTTGTACAGTGGGACGAGGAGAGTTAAACGTCTCCCTTATTCTGGAGGGCTGCAAGCTCTGTGTTTGTCAGTTTTACGCTATGTCTCTGTGAAACACCCGCCATCAGACTGCCTCCACTCACCGGTTCTTGACCAGAAAGGTGGCAACGCTGATGGGGCAGAGCTGCCCCCATGTCCTCCTCCTTACAGAGGCGCGCTCTCCCCACCACCCTTCAAAATATGCTGAAACCTGTCCTTGTTTATAGTACAGTAGGTCCAATCTTAAATGCCACATGCGTTTCTGTGGGCTGGAAAGGCCAACACTTGCCCTGGAAAAGAGTATATTTCTCATTTTATGGGTTCAGTAGCCTTCTCCTGGCAGAGCGGGGCAGGTGGAGCTGTGCAGCTCTCTGACATGCAGCGTGGCATCAGCAGATCTCTCTCCCCTTTGGGCGGTATTTTACTGCCGCTATCCTTGGGGCTGTCAGATTTTTAAACTGAACCCTTGTGCTGCATGCTTGGTGTGATTTTCCTAGTGCACATAAGTGATATAACATCCTATGGCTTTTTAACAGCATGTTTGATGTAGGTGGCCAGAGAGACGAGAGAAGAAAATGGATCCAATGCTTTAATGGTAAGTAAAAATATTCTATATTTTTATTTTGAACTTATTCTCTGAGGTGTGAGCAGCTTAGTATTCATATTCACACATGGTGTGTCACTAGTACGGGAGTCCAGTGTTATAGATATTTTCTTTGGGTATTTTTGGCGGTTTGGGGAGTAATGGCAGTGTTACCCCAAGGAGTATGTGCTGGGATAACAGAGATGTTCTTTTCTCTCTCCTTTCTTTCGTGTGCTCTGCCCAGATGTCACGGCTATCATCTTCGTTGTGGCTTGCAGCAGCTACAACATGGTAATAAGGGAAGACAATAACACAAACAGACTACGGGAATCCCTGGACCTTTTCAAAAGTATCTGGAATAACAGGTAAAACATACCTCATTTCCCACCCACCCTCCCCAATTTAGCTACAGTTCAACTCCTTACAAAATAGGACTTCCCTTACTGTAAGCTCAGATCGCTTATTCAGAAAATGTCCAGGTAGGGCCAGGTCACAGGGTGCCCCCGCGGTGTGTACCCCTCCCCGGCGGGGGCCAGGGGCACAGGGACGGTGCACACAGCATTTCACCTCTGCTGCCAAAATGGTGCAGGGTGCGGGGACAGCTTGGAAAGGGCAAGCTTCCCTGTGCCGGCTGGCACGGCGGGAGCAGGGGGGACCCCTT